CACCCGGAGGTGGATGTCTGCCCCCCCACCTGCACCAGGGCACCCAGAGGTGGACGTCTACCCCCCACCTGCACCCAGAGGTGGACGTCTACCCCCCACCTGTACCCAGGGCACCCAGAGGTGGATGTCTGCCCCCCCACCTGCACCAGGGCACCCAGAGGTGGACGTCTGCCCCCCACCTGCACCCAGAGGGCACCTGGAGGTGGATGTCTGCCCCATGCTGCTGTAGGAACCAGAAGGTGATGGCACCCTGGCCCACACAGGCAAGCTTGGTGGCCTCCCCAGGGCCGAAGGCCACACTGTGCACTGGTTCCAGGAGGCGGGTGGAGGTCACGAGCTCGTAGGTGGCCGTGCTCCACAGGGCTAGGGTGCGGTCGCTGTAGTCACCTGGGGGAGTGCCGAGGGCAGACAGCCACATCACCGTGGGGCCAGCCCCCTGGAGCCGGTCCCCAGGCCCACCCACCCACCCCAACTGACCCACTGTGGCGAGGAGTCTGTCGTCTGGCGAGAAGGCCAGGGCCTGGACAGCAGAGTCGTGGTAGAAGATGAGCCTCCGACAGGCGCCCGTGCACACGTCCCATACGCGGATCTGGCAGCGGGCAGACTTGCTGCTGCAGCCCGAGGTCGAGGCCAGAGCCTAGCAGATGGCAGGCGCGTCAGCAGGTAGGCGTGGCCAGCGGCCCACCTGGCTCTGTCTGGGGCTAAGCAGGGCACCTGGGCATCGTGGCTGAGGGCCAGTGTGGAGACCTCCTCAGGGTGGCCAAGCCAGTGCTGCTGGGAGCCAGAGTGCAGGTCCTCCACCACCACCAGGCTGCCACACGTGTACGCAAAGAAGCCTGAGGGGCCAAGGGTGTCAGGAGCGGCCGAGGCACCTTCCTGCCCCCTGGCCACACCCCTCAGAATTCCTGCTCCGGGAAGGCCCAAGGAGTGGGCAGGCCCGGAGCCCCTGCCTGCGGCCCCACCTGTGTCCGGCCTCCACACCATGTTGGCCCGCCCATTCCCGCTGTAGCCCACGACAGCCTTCAGACGCAGCCGCTCGCAGCCAGCCGGAGGGAAAGCAGCACTCTGTTTGCACAAGACCCAGACCCCCTCAGGGTCACACCACTGCAGGGTCATGTCCGACCAGTCAGGGTGACGGTGGGGAGCAGGTGGGACCCGGGGTGACGGAGGGATGCCCCAAGCCCCCACTTGCAGCCCACCTGGGGCAGGCAGGAGGTCTTGAAACGTGGCACAAAGTGCCTGTAGCAGTCAGGGCGGGTGGCAGTGGGGGCCATGGTGTCCCTGGGGCTGCTGGCACCTGCCAGAGGGAGGGGTGGGCATCAGCCTCCCTGGGCAACTCCTTGGGGACCCTCACTGCCCTAAGGGGAGCACCCCGGAAGCGGGATGTGTGCACTGCTGCCTGGTCCAGATGCAGACGCGCCTCCCTGCACCACCTTCCCCTGCCAGGCACCCTCAGACTTCTGGGAGCTTCAGGCCCATGCCAGGGACTGGCTGCCCCACCCCACCCGTCATCCTGGTCTTACCGGGCCAGCTGTGGAGGTGGGCAGGCTGGTCGAGCCACCAGGGGTCCCCTGTGGCACCCCTCGGCCCAACCCCTCCAGCTCCCCTCTCGACCAGCACAGGAAGGGCCCCCCCCCTGGGTCCTTCATCATCTGACACTGAGGACGTGCCTGGAGGAACACCAAGGGGTCAGAGCAGTGCCTACATGCAGCCATCCCCCCGTCCCCCATCACAGTCCCCCACAGGCTACCAGGACCCGGGCTGACAGGTGTTCCCGGGCCCCTGCCCCTCACCGTCACTGCCCTCAGCGGGTGTGGGGCTGATGGCCAACTGGGGTGGGGAGGCCTGGGACAATGGCATGGGCACCTGGCGCCGGGGGAGCCCACAGGCCCCAGAGGCCGCCTCCTCTTCCTGCTGTCCTGTACCCAGCCCTGCGGACAGAGAAGATGTGGGCAGCCCTTGGGGATATGGCCTTGGCTCTGTGGGGAGTGGGGAGAGGGAACTAGCCCCTGTAGACAGTCAGGACAGATGAGAGTGTGGACAGACCCCCAGACATGAGAGGGACTGGTGCTGACATCCCAAACACCCCACCTTAAGCTGTGATGCCTGCCCCTCGATGAACCACTCACCCACCTCCCCGGCTGGGGGAGTCTTGGCCGAGCCCTGGGCACTGCAGAAACGAGACATGGGGTTGAGAAGGTGCCACGTGGCAGGTGGGCAGGGGATGAGGGCGGACACTTGCCTGCCCCAGGGCGTCCTTTCAGGGTAGGCCAGAATGTCCCAGAGAAAAACGGTATCCCCCACACTGAGGACCTGCCGTTGGTCAGGGGTGAAGGCCACGCTTTGCACAGGCTCCGAGTGTCCGATGAATACCTGGGGTGGGCGTCACGACACACGGGGACCTGGGGCTCGAGCAGGCAGAGGCCCCAGCGAGAGAGGCCCTCAGAGCCTTAGGCCTCCACACACCACGAGATCGGCGCCAGGCCCATGCCATCCCACTCAGCACACACCTGGCAGCCAGGGTACGCCTGTGCTGGGGAGTCCCACACCTTGATGGCCCGGTCACCAGCCGTCACCAGGAGGCGGGCATCCTCGCTGAGAGCCAGGGAGGAGCAGGCCACAGGGTGGACGCCGGACAGCTGGGGAGGACCATTGGGGTGGGAGAGGCAAGGCTGAGGGGCCGGGACAGAAGACCCAGCTCCCACCCAGCCCGAAGTGTCCTTCTCAGCAGTCACCTCCCGGGCACAGCAGCGGTCTGGGGTGATGGTGCTGGCATCCCGGGGCTCACCTCCTGGACGGTACGCCCTGATGCAGCATCCAGTACCAGGACTTTGGAGGATAAGGTGGACACCAGTAGGTGGCCAGTGGGCAGAGGCCCAAAGCAGACAGCCACAGCCGAGTCCCGGTGCCTGCCAGCTGGGTCCAGGGCACTGACATCCACCCGCAGAAGCTGGGGAAATGGCAGAGTGCCCGTGCCCACAAGCCCGGCATGAGAGACTGGCCTCGAGGCTGGGAAACCAGTCCCCAGCCCTGAGGCCAGCCCTCACCCTGGAGATGGTGTGCTCCCTGCCCCTAGGGCCCCTGCAGCCAGGTGTCACCAAAGTGAGCCCTAGTGGGAACCCCATGGGGCTTTGTGGTAAATCATTCAGACAGCTGGCCCCACCCCGACAGACAGGCAGACAGCTGGCCCCACCCAGGCAGACAGGAGGCCCCAGCTACTCACCTCGTCTAGGGAGGCTGTGCCGACAACAGTCACTGTGTACTTGGAGGGACCCACGAAGGCCAGCAGGCAGCTGTCTCTGCTCACTGCCAGGGTGCTGGGGCTTGGCCCAGTGTCCTGGCATACCATGTTCCCTGGGGCAGCACGGGGGCCAGGGGTCAGCCGGGCAGGACACTCATCCTTGTCTCTAAAGGCATGTTTTCCTGACCCGTGCGGGGGTGCTCAGGAGGCAAGGGGGTGGGCAGAGATGCTAGACTTGGGGCGCTGACCTGCCACACGGAGGACGGAGCACCGGGGTGCTGCACAGTCATACTGGGCCAGGGTGCCCTGAGAGCAGGCACTGAACAGGAAGCTTCCATCGGGGGTGACAGCCAGGCCCGTCACTGCTCCTCTGTGTCGCCTGCACACGTGGGGTGGGGTGGGGCTTTGGGCAGGGCTACAACACTGGCGACAGCCCCGCCCCATTCATCACCCCACAAAGCCAGCGCAGCCCCCTTCCTCCTGGGCGGCCCTGCCCACCTGTGCTCCATCAGTGCGTCTGAGGCCACCAGGCTGAAAGCCCGCACAGTGCCTCCGCAGAAGCCACAGAACAGGATGTGCCGTGTGGGGTGAAAGGCCACTGCACACGGGGCCTGGTCAGAGGGCCTGAGGTCGTACAGCTAGGGGAGGGAGGACCCGGTGAAGGGCAGGCCCGGACACCCACACGGGCAGGTTGAGGGACTGCCGCCAGCGATTCCCACACAGCCCCCTGCAGCCACACCCCACCTGCCGCAGGGTCACCAGGTCCCAGATGCAGACAGTGTTGTCCCGGGCCACGGTGGCAAGCTGCCTGCTGCCCGGCTCCACGGCACAGGCCAGCACAGAGGCGGTGTGTGAGCGAGCCAGCACGTGGTATTCATGGGACGCCACGTCCAGGAGCCCAAGGTGACCCGTGGTGGTGGTGGACAGCACACGCAGACCATCAGGGCTGACACGGACCGAGCTGACTGGGCCCTCATGCTCTGCAGACAGAGGACGTGTGACCACCCGGCTGACAGTCAGTGGGCACAGAGCCCCCCCCCCACGACTCCCCATGCAGCCATCCTCTTCTCCCGAAAAAGCCCTGGTTCCCAGGGCAAACCCTGCCCACCTGGCCCCACATAGCAGCTGAAGACAGCCCCTGCCGCCCCTCCTGCCCTCGGGAGCCCTCGGTCCTCACCTGCTTCCAGGAGTACGGCACGGAAGTCCAGGGGCCAGAGACGCAGGTAGCAGTCCTCAGAGCCCACAGCACACATGGTCGCAGACACACTGAGGCTGCTGATGGCAACACCAGGGCCTACACAAAGGGCCAACGTCACCATAATGGGGTGACACCAAACGGACCCCAGGGGCCCCAGGTAGGGTGGCAGCAGCCCTGTGCTACAGGGGTGGGGCCGCCAATGCAAGGTGTCACGAGGGTTGATGACAGGTTGACCTGCCACCCAACATGGTAACTTGCCACCCCACTGCAGTCAGGGCACCAATGAGCCAATGAGTGGGGCACAGCACAGGCCACTGGACAGAGAAGAGAGTCTAGGCCTTGGCCAATGGGAAGCCACGGACAGGGCCGGGAGAGGCCGCTCTGCCCCGAGAGGGTTCACCAGATGACCCCACCCACGTGGGAGGAGTGACACCAAGGCTGGGGAGGCCACTGACCCTGATGTCCTGCTGCGGGGCTGGTGCCCACCTACCCGAGGTGAAGGTGGGCTTCTGTGTGTGGGAGCCGCTGGGGGGCTGCATGGGCAGCAGGCGGCGTGCGTGCCGCACGGCCACGTGCTGGACGTCCACCTCGAGGATGTGGCCGCTCCGGCTGCACACGTAGCTGCTCGGGGATGACAAGGGGACCGTGGCGTGGGAGATGCGGGACAGGTGTGGGGGAAGCTGGGGTGCACAGGGATGGGAGGGGCTGGCCAGAGCGGCGACTCACAGTGTGTGCGGCCCGTCCTGGCCGCGCTCGAAGGCAAGGTCAGTGAAGTGCAGCGCGTGATGCTCCCCCAGGTCGACCGGGCAGGAGCGCAGGGCCCCAGCCCGCAGCCTCCACAGCCTCACGCTGCCTCGCCCACACGATGCCATCCTGCGAGGGAGCCGAGGGCTCAGCACCTGCCCTGAGGTGCCCACAGGGAGACCTGCCTCCGGACGAGGGCTGTGCCAGACAGCCCCTAGCCAGGACTGGGCCCAGCTGGGCAGTGGGCAGTGTGGGCGGGCGGCTGCATCACCTGGTGTCATCAGAGGCGACCGCCCAGGACTGGACGTCCACGTCGGTGTGAGCCTTTGCGAGAATGATGACCTCACCCCCAAGGCTCGCCTGGCTGGTGCCCCAGGCCACCACCATCTGCAACAGAGTGAGTAAGTCCCAGTGGGACTGCACCTGGCCCCACCCTAGTGTCCTGGGGCCACCCAGCCCACCCCCGAGGGCCGCTGCGGAGGCCCCGGGGAGCTCGGCCCCATGCAGTGGGATGCACTCTCCTGGGCCTTGGCCAGCCTGCTCCTGGGGATCAGGCTGTAAAGGTGCCTGCACGTCAGGGCCAGCACTAGGGGGCGTGCCAGCAGTGTTTACAGAAACAAAAACAGACCCCTGCGGACGCAGGCAGTTAAGAGCGAGGGGTGCATATGTTTAGCTTCAACAACAGACACGGACATGCAAAAACGTCCCCCTTTAACTGGGGGGAAGGAAGAGCTGCCACCAGGACACCAAAGGGGCATTTAAACGCTGACCCAGAGCAGTGCCCTCAAGTAAAGAGTGAAGGCGCCACAGGGTCCAACATCAGCCCTCGGAGGTGCCTCGCAGCACCTGCATCCCGGCGGGGAGCCGGGTCGCGCAGAGGGGAGGGTGGGGGAGCTGCCGTGAACGGTCTGGGCTTTTTTTTTTAACAAGGAACACACTCTCAGACAGGGACAAACCGCAGAAGATAAAATGTGGCTCCAGGCTGCCTCCCTACTTCCCCACCCCCGGGCAGCCCTTACCGTCCTCCCGTGGCCATCCTTGCCGACCCCGCAGAGAACCGCCCCACTGTCAGAAAAGCTGCAGGGTGAAGGGCAGGGGCACTCAGGGCTCAGTGCCAGGGCTGCCCCCAGCAGAGAGCAGGAAGTCGCTCCGCCCCCATGGCGCCCCCAGCCCCGCCCACCTGAGGGAGCAGACAGAGTGGAGTGGGCTCTGAAACATGGACAGGCAGCCCCCCGTCCTGAAGTCCCACAGCCACACCAGGCTCGGAGGCTGTGCCTGCGCCGAAGCTAGCAGCAAGTTGCTCCCGTCCAGAGCCAGGGCGGACACCTGAGCAGACAGCTGTGTATCAGGCAGGGCCCGGGGCCAGGCCCGGCTCCCCAGCAGGGGCGGCGCCCACCTTGTCTGTGTGGCCCAGGAAGAAGCGCTGCTCGCCTGTGCTGATGTGTAGGACGACAACGACTGCATGGCAGGGGTACACAACAGAGGCCCCGTCCTTGGTCCACAGGGCCTGGCAGTGGGGCCAGGGCAGAGGTCAGGGCACACCTCGTCCCTCCTGGCTGCCCATCAGCCTTGTGCTGACGCCACAGCCCCCCCCACACACACAAGCAGTTGGTCACCTCAGGCGGGAGGGACACACGTACCTCGTGTGACATACAGCAAAATCTATGAGTCAACCAAACAGCTAAAACACATGCACACACATGTACACCCGCAGATGCACACACACGTATGCAGATGTGTGCGCACAAATGTGACGTGTACACATGCGCACAGGCACACGTGTGCACATGTACATATACAGAAGCACATATACACATACACACAGAGATGCATATACAAAAACATATGTGTAGATGTGTGCCTACATATAACGTGCATAAACATGTGCACACATGCACACACACAAGTGCACACAAATGTGTAAACATGTGAACACACAAAGGCATAAACACAGTACATACATGCATGCAAACATAAACATGTATAAGCATTTGTACACACAAGCATTTATACACACGTGCACATACTCAGGCACATACATACACATCCACAAACAACTGCACACAGGTGTGTATACTTGTGCACAGGTGTGTGCAGATACACGTGTGCACATGTGGAGATGCATATACACATGTACAGATGTGGGCACACATGCAGACACACGTACACACAGCTGTGTAAACGCATCCACATGCATATACACAGATGCATACACATGTGCAGACATATGTACACATGTAGGTGAATATGCATGCACACAAGCACACGTATATGCAGGCATACACACGTGCATGTACGCACATGGGCACATGTGAATGTGCATGATACGTATATACAATACATATACACACACGGACACACACACAATCCCTTCTTCTAAGCCCTGCCTCCAATCAGAACACTCTGGGGTTCAGGTTGCAAAAGATCAAAGGGCTCCCCTAGAGAGAGCCAGCACCCAGAGGGCCTGACAGATCTGGGAGCAGCTGCCCGTGGGGACAAGAGGAAGACGCACCTGCCAATGAACGCTCTGTGTCTCAGCCTCTCAGGGAGCCACCAGACAGGGTTACACTCCAGTGACACATTTACACACTGGCCATACACATCTATACTCCAGCCACAGGTTCATGCCCCAGCCACGCACGTTCATACACACGTTTATACTCCAGCCACACGTGTGAAGTAGCAGCATGGCTGAGCAACATGTGGCCAAGCATTAAAGATGTGGGCTGAGAGCTCTCAATTTCCCGGAAGTTCCAGGGATTAGGGTAGCATCTGCCACACGCAATGACACGTGAGTCTGAAAGCCAACACGCCTGGGCAGTGAGCTGTGCGTGTGCCTGAGCAGGGCTGGTGGGCTGGGCATCTGAGGGCTGCAGAAAGCTGCCAGGGTCTGCAGGGGTGATGAGACTGCAACATTCATGGGCTCTGAGCCCCTAGGCACCTCACCCATCTGCTGCTGTGGCCCCCGAAGCCGATGGCACCCTTCAGCCTCAGAATCGGGTCCGGGAGGAAGCTCTGGAACCGGCAGGCCCCTGGTGAGAGCCCCACAGGGCACAGCCTGTCCCCGCCCCCTCCCGAGTGGGTGCCCACCATGTGGCAGGAGACCAGGCTCCCAGGGGCTGGAGTGGGACTGAGAGCTGGGGGCAGTGCACAGGCTGCATCCTTACTCTTGGGAGAGGGAGGTTCTTGCTCCGAGCCGCCTGTCTGCCCTGCTTGCTGCTGGCGGTCTGAATGGAGGGAGGGAGGAGGCATCAGGGCCCCTCAGCCTCCACTCTGGGGTGCTCAGGGTGAGCCTGGTTGGCCCCGCCTCCAGCACCCTTCACTCAAAGCAGGACCTGCAGCCGTTCCCTGAGTCCCAGACACTACTCCCCTGGCCATATGCTCCCCACATGGTACCAGCGCCCTGGGCCCAATGCAGCGAGGCCCACAGCTGCCTAGACACACGCACCTCCCGAACGCCAATATCGTCCTGTGCTGCAGGCGCCGTGGCTGGTGTGCAGGCAAATACGTGGATGCTGTCGCCGGCCCCCACGCGGGCCAAGGCCCCCAGGCGCTCACAGGACAAGCTGACCTCTGGGAGGGGCGCAGGCACCAAGGGGGCCCGGCGGGACTGCAGGGGACAGGATCCATCAGGTCCCTGGGGCCCTGCACCCAGCCCAGCCCCAAGGGTGTAGGGCACTCACGGCTGTGAGGCTGGACGTCTGGACCAGGGCAGATATGCCGTCCTGTAGGGTTCTGCCGCCAGCCACCACACGTGGATGAAGCTGCAGCCCAGGCCCCGGGAGGCCTGCAGTGGTGCAGGGGCAGCGGGGAACCCCAAGCAGACGTGCTAAGAACGTGGCTGTGCTGGGACCACACAGCCGTGAGCTGCCACCCACCACCTGCCCGAGGCTGACACACCACCCACGTGTACTACACACTGACCTCTGGGACCTCAGAACTGGCACTAGCTTTCGACCCCAGTGCCCAAGCAGCCGGCAGCCCTAGCCCACCCAGCAGCAGATGCACACCGATGTCCCTCCCCTCCCCAGGCAGGCCAAGCTCTCCCCGCCCTGTCTCCTGCCGAACCCAGGCCCACCTGCCTCAGGAGGGGAGCAGCTCTTCCAACCCAGCTCACGGGGTGCTTCCAGGCTGTCACTTGGAAACCTCAGCAGGGCAGAAGGGAGTCAGCGCCCAGAGCGAGGGGACCACCGCCCCTCCCACCTTCCAGAGGTCCCCAGGACAGGTGGAGCCCCTCACCGGATATGGACGTAGTGGTCGTGCCAGCGGTCTCCTTTCGGCACCGGGAATGCCATTTCTCGGGGCATGGGAGTGACAGCCAGCTTGTCACGCCGGGCCTCAGTCACAGTTACAGCTATGGGGAGCAGGGTGCTCCAGTCAAGGCAAGTCCATCCATCACTCCTCCCAGGGCCAGCCAGGGTGTCACCCACCTCCCCCAGGGGGTGCAAGAGCTGGGCGGTACGTGCATCTATGGTGCCTCCAAAGGCAGCCCAACCCCAGAACTGGCCCCTCCTGGGGGCAGGGAAGGGAGTGGGGTATGGGCGGGCCTCACCGGGGTCAAAGCACAGGTCGCTGGTGTACAGGTTACGGACTAGCAGGCTGGCACACAGCCGGACGCTCCTGAGGTGCCTGTAGCACCGGTTCAGGTACGTGAGCAGGATGGCCTGCAGGTCTAGCTGTAGGCAGGTCCAGCGGGTGCCGGGGGGCGCTGCGCCTGCCTGGTCTGTGGATGGTGCCCCATCAGGGTTCCCCGCTCCATGGAACAGCCCCTCAGCCCACGGCACCCTCCAGGGTGGCTGACCCCTCCTGGGGTCACACCGCCCCTTCTGCCCTTTCCAGACAACTGCCCCTTCTCTGTGTCACCTGGCCTGGACAGCCGGGCCTCCCAGATAAAGGGGAACTGAAGCCACGTAGCTGTGGACTTGAACTCCTTGAAGAGGTTGGAGAAAGACATGCGGACAACCTGGCTGTCCTGTGGGAGGACAAGGCATAACCATGATGAGATCGGGACGACACGTGTATGGGGGCCTCACGCTGCCCCACCCTGGGCCACACCTCAGTGGACACGTCCAGGTGGATGATGAAATGCTTGGTGGGCAGGGGCCGGAAAAGCACATACAGGTAGCGCCCAGTCAGCCCCAGGGACTGGGTGCTGGTTTTGGGGAGCTGGATATAGTTGCCAGCGGACACAGATCCCCGGATACGGTACACGGCGCTCTTCAGCGTCTTATCCTGGAGAGAGATGGGCGCCACGCTCACCAGCAGATCAGCACCCAAGAGAGGTGCCCCCTGCACCTGGTGACCCCGGGCTGGGGCCCTCTGGTGGCACGGGGCATGTCCTAGCTGGAGGGGAAGGACCCACACACCATCACAGAGGCCACATCGCCCTCCTTGGACGATCGCTTCCACTCATCCACCTTGAAGTGTCTGAAGACGTTCAGGAACGGCTGCTGCCACACTGGGCGTCGGGAGGAAACAGAGGTTGGGCGAGGCTCTGAGGACTGGGGGCCCACGATCCTGAGGTCCTGGGCTGGGAGAAGCAGAGTGGGGATCTCAGCGACCCACGGACCCACGGCGGGGCCTGGGCTGGGGCCAGTGCGGGGACCTCGCGGTCCCACCAGGACCCCTGCTGGAGGCCCAAGGGCTCTTCCCCATGTCACCACCGACAACCAAACTAACAGCAGGAGCTCAGCACGCAGCCCCGCGCGGCAGGAAGCCCGCCTCCACCACCGACGCGCACCGGGGCCCACGCTCAGGCCTCTGCCCACCCCCGGCCGCCGCCTCCAGGGCTGCGCGGGACCGTCCACGCCACCCCGACCGCTCGCCGCCCACGCGACCCCGCCCGGGCCACCCAGCACGGCTACCTCGAGCCATGGCGCCTGCGAATCAAGCTTCCCGCCTCGCCACCCGCGCTCCCCTCGCAGGGCACGCAGCACGGCGCCTAGCAACGGCCGCTAGCAACGACGTTGCACCACTTCCGCAGCCATGGTGACGCCCAGGGCCCACGTGACCGCGCTGGCGGGGACGCGCTCCCGGCGTGCCCGGCACGGAAATCGGGCCCTGGGGTTGTGCTGCCGGAGGGTCGTCCCGGGCACCCGCTTCCCAGCCTTCGGGCTTTTGGGAAGTTTGAGCTAGCATCTCTTCGGGCGAGACGAGCCCTGCCCCTCGCCCCTCGCCCCTCGCCGGCCGCCATGCGCGGGATGGCACCGCTGCTCTGGGATCCCCTTTCCAGTTCCGGAGCAATCTCCTCCCGGTCAGCGCCTCCCGAGTCCCCACCGACCCCGGTCCTGCCTGCTCCAGCCCCTTCGTGCACAGTTGCTCCCTGAGGCAGGGGCGGGGGGTCCCCAAATGTAATCAGGAATGAGACTCGCCCCCCAAATTGTGTTAGCGGGCCGCACTTTACCCTTAGCCCTTTGGCAGGGCTGAGGCTAGACCCCACCCAAGGAGTATCCACACTGGCCCCACCACGGCCAAGGAGGCAAAGCCATTCAGGTGTTCACCAGGGCCGGGGAGGGGGCTCCCCTACTCTCTCTCACACACATTCCGCCAAAGACTTCAGGGATGTCTGTCCAGTGTCCAGCACCTAGGCATTTCAGACTGGGCCCCAATCCTTGGGGGTAGGTACCCCAGGTCCAGGGCTGTTACTTAACCTTGTTCGGCCTGACTGGCCACACGCTCAAAGCCAACAGGGAGAGGAAAGGGGAGGTCAGTTGGCCCAGCACCGAGAACCAGCCCTGGGGCCTGGCCCCTGTACCGGGCTGGCAGCTGGGGGGCAGGTGAGGGCCAGAGCACGGCCGACCTGCAGCCTCGACTGGCTCAGGGGTGCCAGTGGCACTGTGAGGGGCTCACAGGGGAAGCTGAGCCCCCAGTCCACACACACCAGATAAAAGCCACTCAGAAAGGCGGTTTCTTGACTTTATTGGCTGGAGCTCCTCCCCCAGCCCCAGGGGCTGGCACAGTGGCAGGATTGAGGTCAGCACACACGTTCAGCCCGTGTACCTGGCTGCCTGGGACAGGTGGGCCAAAAGAACCAAAGGTGCAAAAGTCCAAATGCTGGCACTTCAGGTGTGGCCGGCACCTAGCCATGCCCAGCGAAGCAAGGCCTGCCGCCTTGGCTGGACGGGGGAACCATGGTCCTCTTCTGGCCATGGGCCCACAGGGGCGGGGCCAGGCCCGGCATGGGTGGTGTTCCTCAAGGAAGTGGCTAGGAGCAGTTGGTGATTCTAGCCAGGAACTGCTGCGCCCACCACTCGTCCAGGTCAATGGGCACGAAGTCTGAGGGAAGCAGAGGGCTGGGTAGTGGTGCTGCCTGTCCCCTCCAGGCTGATCCCTCGGCCGACCCTGGGGGTAGCAGGCACTGGGAGAAAGCGGGTCCTGTTCAAGACTCCCCTGCCCCAGGTCTCCACACGCTGGATGGCAGGCAGGGAGAGGTACTCACTCTGTAGCCGGGGGTTGGGAGTCCTCTCCTGGTACTGCACCGGCCTCGGTCCCCTCTCACCGGCTGGGCCACCATCCAGCTGCTGTTCCACCTGCTGCCAGGCTGTGGGAAGGGGGCAGTGAGGCCAGGCCCAGCCCCTGCCACCCTCACTCCCGCCCCAGGGCCTGGCTGCCACCCTGGACTCCAGCCCAGCACGGGGAATGGGCAGCAGTTGAGTGGTCACAGGACCAGGGGTGCACAGCCAAAGAGAAGCCTAGCCCTCTGGCCCTGGGGCATCGGGTTGCAGTGAGGAGAGGGCCAGGTGGCCCGGTCACTGCCTCTGCCCCCGTCTCTACCTTCGGACACAAAGCGGACGTTTTCCTCGTGGGCCAGTGTGTAGGTCTCCTGGGCCCCTTCGAGGGACGGGGACGTGGCAGGGGGCCGCCGGCCATTCACCCGATTGAACACCAGCCTGGGCCCTGGGCTGTGGGGGAGAAGGTTGGCGTGGGTCCCCTGGTCAGGTACTGCCTGGTGGAGCTCTGAGAAGCCTCCTGCCACGCCCCCGGCCTAGCCGAGGTGATGCTCTGAGCAGCAGAGCAACCAGCCACCCTGCAGCCTGGGGCCAAACCTCCACAGCAGCTCGTGCTTCCATGGCACCTGGCCCCCCAGCAGGGCACAGGCACCCCGCTCTCTGCCCAAGGATGGTCTGTGTCTGCACTGCCACCTGCCTTCCACCTCACTGACCACCGGTCCTCCGGCAGCTTGGGAGCTGGCTGAGCCGCCACCAGGCCTCCGTTCCTCTGCCACCCGCCGGGCCCTGTTCTGCGTCAGGTCCTCCCCAGAAGTGGAGGTTCTCCTCACAGATGCCCCCAGCGTGGCAGGGAGGACCCAGACAAGGGTCTCAGCCCTTCCCCAGCTCACCCCCAGGCCTCACGGGGACGAGCGCCAAACAGCATCCTGAATGCCGGGGCAGGGAGGCCCTGAGCGGGGTGGCCTGAGACAAGGTGGGGGGACGGGGACGCTCAGGGAGCTCCACGTGAGGAGATGGCCCCGGGTGCTGGGCACACGACGTCCAGGAGGCTGCAGACCCTCCCCGGCCAGCCGGGGCCGGAAGGAGCCAGCACAGCAAGGCTGGGACGCAGGGGCCGTGGAGGGAGCGGGCGCACCTACAGCGAGAGGCGGGAGCGGGGCTCCGGGGTGCCGCTCCGCCAGGCCCTCGAGGTCCCCGGGCGGCCGGCTCGCCTTCCTGCGCTCAGGTCCCCCATCGCTGGGCGACTGCAAACTGCTCGGGGTTCCTCCTCAGGTGAGAGGGGCACTAAAACAGAGAGGAGCATCTTCAGGTGCCCCGGGGCCGGCAGGGGTCTGGTGGCTGCGGAGGGCCTCACTGTGCGGACGACAAGGGCTCCTCCCGGCACAGCGTGGGGGCTCGCACCCAAGAGCAGCCCGAGTCCAAGCTGCCCCACAATGCGGAAGGCAGGAGGGTCTGAAAGCCTTGAACCTGCCCCTCAAGAACAAAAACTCAGGGAAGCCGACTGAAAACCAGAAGGTTGGCTCAGCCAGGGGCTGTGGAGGACGTGAGGGCTGAAGGGGCCCTGGCCCACCCTGCCCACCTCAATGGCCCAGGCATCATTCTGTAAGATGGCTCTGCAGCGCTCGGTAGGGGAAAGGGCACAGCTCTGGGGTGCCCCTGTGGAGGAACGCTGGTCTCATGTAACCCCTTCAAGGCTCCCCCAGGTGGACACCCACCCACCTGTCAGCACAGCAGCCTGTACCAGAGAGAGACGGAGACAGAACCCACCCCAACCTGCCTCCCCTACCTCTCTCCCAGGCCTGGGGGCCTGCATGGCCCATCCCTGCCTCTGGCCTTCCTGTGTGCCCCCATCTGTCCTCCAGTCAAGTGGCCATGTGATCCTGCTGTCCCCAGCATTTGAGGACACCCCAATTTCTCATACCCTCCCAGTCTCCCATTGGGGGAGAGTGCCCTACACTGGCCTGTTGGCCATCACAGCCAGCACCAGGCCCCAGCCCGGCCTGAAGCTGGGAGCCCCGTCTGTTTAGAAATCAGAAACATGCCAGGATGGTGAGCCAAGCATCCCAGGCAAGTCTGTAGGGGTGGGGAGGCGGCTTCAGAAGGTGGTTGGAGAAGCACCTGAAGAGGCTGCAGGTGGGGGCAGCCCCCCAACCCCACCCACAGGCAGAGTACCCAGCCAGATCTAACTTGGTCGCAGCTGGGGGAGGGGGAGTGCCACCCCCACCGCCCTCAGGTGGGAGGAAGGATCGGCTGCCACGCTGGCCACGTGTCTAGTGTCCATGCACGCCCCAGCCATTGAGACGCAGGGCCTGTGATGTCCACAGAGACTTAACCATTGGGGCCTAGGGGTTCCCACTGAGACCAGCTGGCATCTTGCCTGTCGTTTCCATTCTGACCCCTCCCCCAGCAGTGGCTCCAGAGAGAGAGGCAAGGCAGGTTTCCCAGGTAAGAAGGTGGGATGGTCCCCATGTGCCACGTGGCCTGAAGGGCAGAACAAAGGTCCCCAGCCAGCACCCCACCACCCCTCCCTTGGTGAGCTCTGAGCCCCACCCTCCACTCCCTTGCTGAGGTGACCAGAAAGGACAGGTGCCCTGGGCCAGTGTCCTCACTGGGAAGCTAAGGGCAGCTGTGAGGACCAAGGCTGGTGTCGATACAGCCTGGTCTCAGAGAAGCTCCCCCCAGCCCCACTGCCCTCTTCTTTGGCCTGGTCCCCACTAGCATCCAGCCCCAAACGTCCATGTGCCCCTGAGGTCCTGAGAGCAGGCCAATGCACTCAGCCAGTCTCCACAAACATCTGATAGGCCATCCCAGGCTCAGGGCCCCCACCCTCACTCCACCTCTGGTATCTCAGGCCAGCAACTGAGCTAAACAGGCCCTGTGAGCTCTGGGTGGGTAAGCGGGCGGGCAGGGGGCAGGCTGAGGGTGGAGTCCTTCCTGGAGGCCGTCTGTCTGTCCTTGGCACACTGTGCCCTCCCCATCACGCACTCAGCAGGCACATGGTGACCCTTCATCTGCCACCAGTATCATCTGCGCTTAAGCACCTGCAGATCCAGAAAACGTGCCAGTAAAGGCCCCAGAAACTGAGCCAATGAAGGGAAAGGTTCAGCAAGATGGGGTCTGACCACAGGTCATGGTCACGAGGAGGCCAAACTGGTCAGGCCTGCACCTCAGTGGCCTCCCACTCTGGGGCGCAGGCAAGCCCAAGCTGCAGGTTCACAAGGTGCCCGCGGTGAAGGGCCCAGAGGGCAGCGCTTGGCAGCCACAGCAGACACGTGCACCCCTGTCCTCAGCTCTCAAGGTCGGCTGGCAGCCTCGGCAGGGCCAGGAGACCTTGAGGGCCAGCGCCCTGAGCCACTGGCTCCACCCAGGAGGACAAGCCTTGGGCAGCCCGCCTCAAACCCTGAGCTCCGCCTGCTGCACAGGGGAGCAGCAGGGAAGCGTGCAGTCCGCCCACGGTCGACCGGTGAGCGTCTGCCTCTTCGCCCGCAGACCCTAGCCTGGATCCGCTAGGGTCCAGCCCGAGCGCGAGCTGTTCTGCGGAGCTGGGCACGGGGGCGTGGTCG